GGCTCAGGCTGGGGTGTGCACCGGGGCAGTAGCAGGGAAACCATTCAGTCAGCCGGGCAATTTCCATTTGCCCTCTGCCCTGCTGTGGGAGCAAGCAAGCTTTCATGCACGCTTCACGAGCAGAGCCCAGGCTTCCCACTGTCCTCCTGTTAGTCCCACTGGCCCTCCACCCAGCCAAGGGGGGCTCATCTTCCCTTTGTCGGACCCCAGGGCCCCCCAGTGCCCAATATGTGGCTCACTTCCCGCCCTGTAATCTCCCTTTTCCACTGAATCCCCTCCCAGAGGCCCAGGTCCTGACCTGATTGCATCTCTTCCCTTCCTAACTGATTCCATGTATATCTTTCCTATAGCCTTGTTTGCACAGCAGTCTTTCTGCCAGTCTCTAGTTAGTTTTCAGTGAGAATTGTTCCACATGTAGGCGTATTTTTGATGTGTACGTGGGGGCGGTGAGTTCTGTGTCTTCCTACACCACCGTCTTGATTCAAGACCTGGTGGTTGTGTTTTAGATTCCACATATAAGTGAGAGCATGCAATATTCGTCTTTGTCTGACTTATTTCATTTAGCCCAATGCCCTCAGGGTCCACCCATGTTGCTACGAATAGCAAGATTCCATTCTTTTTTATGGTAAATAGTAATCGATTGTATATGTCCACCACGTTTTCTTTATCCATTCATCCACCAGTAAACACTTAGGTTGTTTCCATATCTTGGCTATTGTAAAGAATGCTCCAATGAACATGGGGGTGCACAGATCTTTTTGAACTAACATCTTCATTTCCTTCAGGTAAATACCCAGAAGTGGGGGTTCTGGGCCATATAGCAGTTCTATTTTTAATTTTGTGAGGAACCTCCATATTGTTGTCCACAGTAGCTTCACCAAGTGACATTCCTACCAATGGACACAGGGCTTTCTTCTCTCCACATCCTTGCTGACACTTGCTTGTTATTTCTTGTCTTTTTGACAAAAGCCACCCTGACAGGTGTGAGGTGACATCTCATTGTGGCTTTGATTTGTGTTTCCCTGATTTTTAGTGATGCTGAGTACTTCTCCATGCACCTGTTGGTCATCCATATACTTTCTTTGGAAAAGTATCTATTCTGATCTTCTGCTTATTTTTTAATCAGTTTTGTTTCTGTTTTGCTGTTGAGTTGAATGAGCTCTTTATATATTTAGGATATGAATCCTTTGTCAGATACATGATTTGTAAATATTTTCTCCTATTTAGCAGCTTGCCTTTCATTTTGTTGGTTTCCTTTGCCATGCAGCATTTTTGTTTGATGTAGTCTTGTTTATTTTTGCTTTTGTTGCCTTTGCTTTTGGTGTTGAATCCAAAAAATCATTACCAAGTCCTATGTCCGTGAGCTTATTACTGCACGTTTTCTTCTAGGAGTCTTATGGTCTTTAATGCGTTTTGAGTTAATTTTTATGTGTCGTTGTAAGATAGTGGTCTAGTTTCATTCTTTTGCTAGTGGCTGTCCAGTTTTCCCAGCACCATTTATTGAAGAGACTGTGCTTTACTCATTGTATATTCTTGGCTCCTTTGTTGTAAATTAATTGACCACCTATGTGTCAGTTTGTTTATGGGCTCTCTATTCTGTTTCATTGATCTGTGTCTGTTTTTATGCCCATACCATACTGTTTTGGTTACTAGAGCTTTGTTATATAGTTTGACATCACGGAGTATGACGCCTCCAGTTTTGTTCTTTTTCCTCAAGCTGCTTTAGCTATTTGGTGTCCTTTGTGGTTCGATACAAGTATTAGGATTGTTTGTTCTCTTTCTGTGAAAATGCCCTTAGAACTGTGATAGGGATTGCATTGAATCCATAGATTGTTTTGGATAGTATGGACATTTTAACAGTATTCTTCCAATCCATGATCATGGGATATCTTTCCATTTATTTGTGTCTTCTTTGATTTTGTTCATCAATGTCGCATAGTTTTCAATATACAGGTCTGTCACCTCCTTGGTTAAAATTTATTCCTAGGTATTTTATTCTCTTTGATGCAATTGTAAACTTGATTGTTTTTTCTTAATTTCTCTTTCTGATAGCTCATTATTAGTGTATTGAAATGCAACTCATTTTTGTATATTGATTTTTGTATCCTGCAACTTTAATGAATTTATTAGTTCTAACAATTTTTGGTGGCGTCTTTAGGGTTTTCTATATATAATAACATGTTATCTGAAAATAGTGACATTTACCTTCTTCCTTTCCAATATTGGATGCCTTTTCTTTTTCTTGCATTTGCTGATGCCTGCTATTCTTCTAGGCTTGTACTGAGCGCTCAGTTTGAGTATGTGTGGCTGCGGAGGGGGGTGCAATAAATGAGACATACACTCCTTCCTCCAGGAGCAGATAATCGAACAAGAGGATCAAGTGGCTCCAGTGCACCAATGGCTTTAATATGCAAGGTGTGCAGTGGCTTGAAGGGGCGGATCATGACCTTTGCCTCCAAGGGGTCAAGAAGGACATCAGGCAGGAGATGTATGAGCAGAGTCTTGGAGGATGAGCAGGAGGTTAGCAGGCAGAAAAATGAGGGAAAAGCATCCTAGGCAGAGGGAATAACATATGCAAAGGGAAGGAAGCAGAGCTTAGGATTTGAGGAACCACAAACAATTCAGAAGGGAGATTAGTGAGCGGTGAGGCTGGGATGGGAGTTGGGGGTCAGACCTCGAACAGGGGTGAATGGAATCCTGAGGGATTCAGATTTCATTCTTAGGGTGACGGGTGAGGAACTGTAAGTGGAGGAGTCCTACTGGATCTTGGCCATGAGGAAGATGGATGAGAGGGGAAGACATGGGAGGCAGGGGGAAAGGGTAAAGGGCTGATGCTGTAATCCTGACAAAAAGTGTCGAGGGCCAGAACTAAAAAAGGAGCAGCAAGGAAAAATCATGGCTGAGTCTGAAAACAAATTTAGATGAGAGAGCTGTCCAGCTGGAACAGGGTGATCACAGACGGCTCCAGGTGGGCGGCATAGGCGGCTCGGGTGAGGGGTGCTGGAGCTGTGCCAGAGATGGGGAAGTTAGGAGAAGGCGAGCAATTGGGGGGCTGGGGGAACATGGCAGATTCAGCTTGGGATGTGCCGAGCTCAAGGTGAAACATCCAAGCGGAGGCCTCCGGTGGCTGCTGGAACTCTGTGGCTGGTGCTCAAGGAGACTGGCCAGCGACCGAGCTAAGCACCTCCAAGACAGACTGCTCCCAGCTGCCGGGAGGATGCAGAAGACGGAGAGAGAGGCAAGGGCAGGGTTCAGAGCGTCCAGGGTTTTAGAGATGAGTCAGTTAGGTCAGGAAATAACAGGCAGAAGCAGGGGGAGTAGGAGAGACATGGCTGGGGTGTGGGTGAGGGGTGGACGGGACGGGCTAGACCACCAGCTCCACGCAGACAGGGTCGTCGGTGCTGTCCGTCACTGCTGAGTCCCCAGTGCCCGGCTGTGGGCCTGCGTGTGCATGGTGCTCCTACAACCTGGCTTGGACAGTTGAGCAGAGGTGTAGATGAATGATGCCACACTCACTTCACTGTGACCTCCCCTATCACAGAGCTGTGGTGGGGGGCTCCCCCATTGCCCTGGGGTGGTGTCCTGCCCCACTGCCTACAGTCTCACCCTTCTCTGTAGCAGGTGCCTCCCGAGGGTCTAAACCTACACCTGCTCCAGACGCTTTGTGATCGCACCCTCCCCTCCCACCAGGGGCAGAAGGGGTCGCCTGACCCAGGCCGGCCAACCTGGGTCTGTCCTGGCACTCTTGCCTCTGGATCTTCTGAACTGAGAATTCCTGAACTTACAAGCATGGGCGGGGTGTGCTGTGCACCGGGCACATGAGAGGGAGGGCCAGAGAGTGAGAGGGTGGGGAGCAAGCAGACGGCCCGGCAGAGGCGGACGAGCAGTGTGGGCAGGGCAGGAGAAGCGGGTGCCTCTGGCCTGGCCCCTCCGAGGCCCGGCTGCGTCCTGCTTTGGGCTCTGAGTGTCCTCTGGGTCTGGCCGCTAACCCCGGCCTGGGCTGCCATGTGCGGGTGTTAGTTTCTCGCTGCCCAAAGGCCCACGTGTGAGGTGCTCCCCCTGGACGCCCCTGAGCAGTCAGGCCCCCCGCTAACGCCCTGGGTTAGAGGCCGAAGCGCGTACTTCCTTGGTGACCCAGCACTAGGAGGGCTCAGGCAGTGGCAGAGCCAGAATGTGAATCCAGCTCTTCAAACTCCGTGCTGAGTGTCCTCTGTGGGATTCTCATGGAATTCTCTCCTCCTGTAGGAAAGAGACCTGAGAGATGCCAAAGGTGGGGGCCTGGGCTGGGACCCCAACACCCTTTTGGGGACCCTCGTGGTCCTAATGAGATGAGCGCTAAGGGTCGCCTGGTTCTCACCTGAGTCTGGTGTGAAAAGGGCTGGAGGCAGTGACGGCTCAGACCGGCGTGTCCAGCCCCAAAATGCAGAGTCACTTATAAAGGAGGCAAAAGGCTCTGACAGGGAAACCTGCCCTGTCCAGTCCGCACAAGGCGCCCAGGTGCATCTGGGCCTAGCAGCCCCTCCCTGGCTTTCGAGGTGTGTCTTGCCAGCAGGTGAGCAGTTGGGATAGGATGAAACCACCGGCGCTGAAGCTGTGTGGCTGCGTGTCCCCTGCCTGGACAGCCAGACAGCCTGCCCCCGCGCAGACAAGGCCGGGCTGTGCTGCAGAAGAAAGCCCCCTGCGGTCCCCACTGGCGACCCGCTGAAACGGACGCGGCTCACATGCTTTGTAAGGGAAACTGGGGCTTCCTCCTCCCAGGAGCATTCCTGAGGCTGTGGCCAGAGAACGGCAGAGCTTTCTTCGCTCTGGATTCTCCTCGCTCGTCACCAGGTCATCTAAATAGGGGCAGAGAAACCCACCAGCTCTTTCTAGAAGGCGGGGAGGCCAGGGCAGTGGCCCGACCGGCCAGCATCTGGGACGAGCTGGAGAGAGAGCTGGAGCCCAGAGCATCCCTGGAGGGACGCTGATCTCGGTGCTTGGGAGACAGCAGCAAGCCGGGGAAAGGTTAAAACAAACATTTATTTAACAAATTATATTAAGAAGACAATCACACAGTGAAACTTCCCTTTGCCAAGTACTAGCATCGGCTCAAATAAATACACGCAGTAGGATGTCCTTCCTACGCCAGCACCCAGAGGCCCGGCCGAAGCCCCGGCTCCTGGTGGCGACAGGTGCCGACAGCACGGTTGGCGCCCCGAGGTGCGGGCAGCCCTGCCCCTCTAGGCCCAGGGGAAGGTGAGCTCCTGCCGGGCACGCGGCTGCTGTCAAGGCCTCTCGGCCCTCACCCTTGGGCTCCACCGCTCTCCAGGGAGCTGTGGGCTGGGTCCTGCTTGGGGCCAGACGAGGCGCGGGTCCGATCCTGCCTCTGCCACTTACCAGCTCTGTGCCTGCGGACGTGTCTCACCATCTTCGTCTGGAACCAGGAACAAATAACATCCACTTCTGGGTGTTTGTGTTTTTTGGGGGGGGGCAGAAAGGAGGGGAGTGACAAGAGAAAATGTGCTTCAAGTGCCAGCCTTGTGCCTGGCAAGGAGTGGGTGCTTCGTACGTGAGTCCTCCTGGTGCCCCGCCGCCGTTCCTAACAACCGGGGCCGGTGGAAAAGCCACTGGTGGCTTCTCCCAGTAGGGTGGCCTCCGGGAGCGAGGGCAGGGCCTGACCTGCTGTTTCTCCTCGCCCCCGGGGGGCTCCTCCCGCTGAGCGGAGGTTGCGGCTAGCATCAGTTCCTGGAATCGAGGTGGGAAAAAGCCTTATTATAAATTTGCAAGTGAACCTGGAGCAAACTGCTTACTCCTCATCACCGCTGTGCCATTTCCAAGGCCTTTGGAGAGACTCTGAATTTTCAAAGAGGAAAGAGAAGGCCACGTGGGCCCCTGTGCTCCGGTTAGTCCTTCCAACAAGGACTTTGTGTTTCCAAGAGAGCCCCTGCCTTCCCTGCCCACATGGCCAGAGGGCTCGTGAATAAAAGCACCGTCCCAGAGTCAGGGCGCTCGATTCCTGGGGGTGAGTGGAGCCGCACCTGCACGCACCGTCCCCTGTCTCAGGAGAGAAACAGAGGGTCTGGAGCAGCCTGAAGTCTACCACGGACACTAGCTTCTCTGTAACACTGTCTTAGTTATCTCAAGCTGCTGTTGTAGTGATGGTCACAGTCACTGTGAAGCCTAGACTAAGTCTATGACACCGCACAGGCCTCCCCAGCTTGCCCGCGTCCACACAGCCTCGCTCTGTCCATCCGGGAACTGCAGGATGGCCCGGGGTTGGGGGCTGGCGGAGGGCCCCCCCCTTTCCCCACAACCACCCTCACTGCCCACTTGCTTGCTGACGGGAATCCCACGTCACCATCTTTGGACCTCCTAGGGCTCATCAGAGGTGCCGAAACGCTTGGTTTTCAGTCAAGGGAGAAAGGCTGCCGGGCGTTACCTGTTGAAGATGATCCCACAGCTGGGGTGGGACCAGAGAGGAAGGTCTAAGCGCACAAACCAATGCAACTGGGCAGAAGGGGGCAGAGACATCACCCCTCTCACTGGTTTTGGAGCAGCCCCTCCCATCCAAACAGCAGTAGCAGACACAGGTTCTCTGGGCCCCACAGGGCTCCCCCAAGTCCCTGGAAACAACCAGCTTATTTTAGTGGGTACATGTGAGAGCAGTTCATCAGCGCTGTCCTGGATAAGCACCAATCCCACGGGGTCCTCACCGGACTTTCCATCCCGCAGCCTCCCCGGCCCTGGTGGGATCAACCAACTAACTGCCTGTTCCTGCCACCGTGCCGCGGGGGGAGGCACGGGAAAGCCAGCCCCACGGGGATGTCCTCGGGGCTCGGGGGTGGTAGGGAGAGGTGAGCACTTCCCCGAGGCACAGAGATCAGGAGGTATTGAAATGAAGACCCAAGCGCAACTGTGGGGCGCAATGGAGGCCTGGAGGTGGCTGGGCTGATGCAAGTATGTGAGGTATGTTTTGCCCCCGCCCCACTTCTCAGCTGGAGGCTGCCCCTCCTAACTGCTGGCCAGTTCCTGCCGCCCCCAGCTGCCCATGTGCCATCCTAGGAAGTGCAGGGAGGAAGGGGCTGTCCTGGCTGGGCAGCAGCTCTCCTGGGCTGCCACCCACACGCCAGCCTCCAGACACATCAAACCTCACGTCCAAAGCTCCAACCATCTGGTGTCCTCTGAGATGTGAGATACCAAATTCTGGGAGTTCCAATTCCAACAGCATGACAAAGCAGCCACCAGGATGAGGACCGAGCCTCCAGGCTGGTGGCAGACCCGCTCTCTTGGCACACGTGCATGGAGCTGGACAGGGCAGCTGGCACCGTGGGGAACGCCAGTGTGTTCGCTGGCCACTCATGGCGGAAATGTCAGTTCTCGCCCATCTGGGAACCTGGGTCAGATGGGCTTTTGGAAACAACTCTTCCTGTTAGCAGAGGCTGCAAGACACGGCCTGGCTGGGAGAGGCCCAGCAATGTGTGTCCACGTCCCTGGGCACAGGCTCATGGAGCCCCTTCACCCACAGCCCTGGCCACCAGGTCAGGGCGCCAGCCGGGCAGTGGGAGCTGTTGTTGGCACCGCGCTGCAGAGACGAGCCCTTTGTAGGGTGAGGGGAGGAGGTGGGTGAGCACTGCGTCCCGGCAGCGGAACTCATGTCCCGGCAAGCACCCGGCCACCTGGCTTTCCCGCCCAGAAGGCAAGTCCTCTCTGGGCCGGTGGCCAGGGTGCTGCCCCCGACCTCAGGGTGTCCAGTGTGTGAATTGAGTGGCGAGTCTAATGTCCACAGCGGGGAGGGAGCCAGGCCTGGGTCCACCCAGGGACCACCAGCATCTCCCTCCCGCGTTTCCTTAGGGTCTCTGTGAAGTTGTTGGGCAGGTGATGCCGTTGGTGAGGGACTCATTCCACGCAGCCCCGGGAGTCTTCCAGGAGGAAAGCAATGGCTTAGTGGTGGTGACAGGAGTGAAGGGAGCCAGCGGCGTCACTGGGCAGCCAGAACAACTGTCCAGGGCCCTCGGGGGTGACTCCCGCGGTGGGTAGGGTTGTTCACAGGACAACAGGGCAGCAGCCGCTGGTCACTACACACACAGGTTAGTCGAGGTTATGGACAGCATCCTCAGGGAGGCGGGGAGCCATGTCAGACAAGCCGATGACCGAGGAGGCAACAGCTCAGCCGCCCAGAGTCTCCCAGAAGCGCCGGGCAGGGCGGTGCGGAAGGGTGGCGGGGGTCCGGGCGAGGGAGGGGCGCTCAGTAGTCTGGGCGGAGGCGTCTCTGCCCCACAGGGGCCCTCAGGACTGAGGGATCTGCTGACACCGCGTAGGGCTGGGCGGGAGCCTGGCAGCGGCGCTCTGCTCCGTGCGGAAGCTGTACTCGTACTGCAGTGGGGGTGCAGGGGGGACAGAGAAGCACAGTCAGGGCATGAGATGAGGCCACCAGAGAAAACCGCTCCATGGCCTCAGACAGGCCGGGCAGAGGCCCTGAGGTCCCCCTGCTGAGCATCCAGACGTGGGAAGGGATGCGCTCTGGGGCGCACCTGTACTGCAGTGTGAGCTGTGCCTCTGGGGCTGCAGGTGGCTGGCTAGTTGGTGACACTGGTACCTATCACTGTTCCGGTCCCTCAGCACGAGCAGCACCCAAGCTGCCCGCATGCCCTCCCACCTCCCAGCTGCGGGAGGAGTCACACGGACGGGAAGGGGCAGACCTGGGGCTCCGTCCCAGACCTGAGCTGAGGCCGGCCGCAGCCAGTGGGCCCGGGGGACCCCTGGACTTACCACTGTGCTCCGTGCTTCCTGAGCACAGTTAAAGACAAAAACCGGGTGATGGGGACACAGGGAAGGGGGGCCACCCCACACCCTGCACGTGGTCTCCTCACTGATTTCCCAGGACCACTTCCCCGTAAGTGATGAGGACCCAGGGGCCTCACATGGCCACCTGGGCCCAGCCCAGCCCTGCTGCCACCCAAACCGGAGCACAGCCCTCATGCCTGAGACCCGAGCCTGCCTGCCTGACCCCAGGTAATGGAAATGCAGAGAAGGGGGACACCTGCGGTTCACCTTGAAGGCCAGGGGGGATTTCAACATCCAAATGTAGGGCAGGGAGTGCCAGGCAGGAGTGGCTGCCCCGCTGGGCAGGCCTGAGGCTGCAGGGAGCGGGCCGTGGGAACGGCCTGGACGCTATGCCACAGTGGCCATGTGGGCCTGTGGGTCCAAGGAACGAGTTGCTTAGATGAGGTCAGTGGTCATTAAACATTTGAAATAATATTGTAAAACTCTGTAGCAGCAGAACTGCCATAAAAAAGGGCTTCCCTATGTAGAGCAGAGTCGAGCGGCCCTGGTTGAACTTGGCCATCACCTGAAGCCATCTCCTTGGGTACAGTGGTGGAGGAGGCCGTGAGGAAGATGATGTGGAACTGTCCCAGCAGGAGGTGACCACTGGGTGCCCCCCCTAGTGAGGGTGCAGAGCCCAGCCGCGGGTTCCAAATGCCCTCTCGGCTCCCAAGGTGAGCTGCCTGCAGCAAGGAGGCGCTTCCGCGGGCCGCGCAGAGCCGGAGCACAGCCAAGGGCAGACGGGCTGCAGGGATCTTTCAAGGCTGAGGGGCAGCAGGAGAGCTCTGAGGGGAAATGGCAGGGATGCTGAGGCAGCCAGCAGCCCGCCACTGCTCAGCGCCGCATCCCCAGCCACCCTGCTGATGGTCCCCGGGGCCGACCCAGGACAGATAGACAGACACAGATCCGGGCTGGCCCGCCCTGGCCCTGCGTGAGCAGCAGAGGTGAGCAGCCTCAAGCAGCCCCTGGGCTTGTGGTCGAAAGGACTCGGTGACACTGGTGAGATGACTGTGGTCCCCACAAATGGAAGAGGTGGGGAGGGAAGGACTTGACATTGCAGGGTGACCTCAGGCAGGTCTTTTCTCCTCTGAACCTCAGTGACCTCACCTCTAAAGAGGGGTCACAACAAGAAATAACACGTTGGTGAGGACATGGAGCAAAGGGAGTCCTTGTGCACGGCTGATGCAGCCACTGTGGAACAGTGTGGAGGGTCCTCAAAAAATTAAAAATAGAACCACTATATGAGCCACTTCTGGAAATTTACCTCAAGAAAGAGAGAACACGCTAAGAACTTTAAAACATTGACAAAGGAAATTGAAAATGATTTAAAGAAATGGAAAGATATCTGATGCTTAGGATTGCAAGAATTAATATTGTTAAATGGCCATGCTACCCAAAGCAATCTATAGATTTAATGCAATCCCTATCTAATTGCCCAGGGTAATTACCCAGGGTAATTATCAAATTATCATTTTTCACAGAACTAGAATAATCCTATAATTTATATGGAATCACAAAAGATCTAGAGTTGCCAAAGCAATACTGAGGAAAAAGAATGAAGCTGGAGGAATATCCCTCCCAGACTTCTGACAACACTACAGAGCCACAGGGATCAAAACAGCGCGGCCTTGGCACAAAAACAGACTTATGGGTCAATGGAACACAACAGACAGCCCAGAAATACACCCACACACCTCTGGTCAAGTAATCTTCGACAAAGGAGGCAAGAATACACAGTGGAGAGAGCAGTCCTTGGCAAGCTGTGTTGAGAAAGCTGGACAGATGCATGTAAATCAGTGAAGTTAGAACACTCCCTCACACCATACACAAAAATAAACTCAAAATGGCTTAAAGACTTAAATGTAAGACAGGACACCAAAAATCTCCTGGAAGAGAACACAGGCAAAACATTCTCTGACATAAATTGTAGTAACGGTCTCCTAGGTCAGCCTCCCAAGGCAATAGAAACGAGAGCAAAAATAAACAAATGGGACCTAAGCAAACTTACAAGCTTTTGCACAGCACAGGAAACCATAAACAAAACAAAAGACAACGTACGGACTGGGAGAAAATAAACGATGAGACTGACCAGGGCTTAATTTCCAGAATATACAAACTCACACAACTCAGCAAAAACACAAAACCCAATCAAAAAATGGGCAGAAGGCCTAAATAGGTGTTTCTCCAAAAAAGACATGCAGACGGCCAGTAGGTACATGAAAAGATGCTCAACATTGCTAATTATCAGAGAACTGCAAATCAAAACTACAATGAGGTACCACCTCTCATGAGTCAGAATGGCCATCATTAAAAAGTCCACAAACAACAAATGCTGGGGAGGGTGTGGAGAAAATGGAACCCTCCTACACTGCTGGTGGGAAAGTAATTTGGTGCAGCCACTATGAAAAACACTATGGAGATTCCTTAAAAGACTAAAAATAGAGTTGCCATATGATCCAGCAATTCCACTCCTGGGCATTTATACGGAGAAAACTGTAATTCAAAAAGATATATGCACCTCAGTGTTCATAGTGGCACTATTTACAGTAGCCAAAACATGGAAACAACCTAAATGTCCACCAACAGATGACTGGATAAAGATGTGCTATATATACACAAAGGAATACTACTCAGCCATAAAAAAGAATGAAACGATGCCATTTGCAGCAATATAGATGGCCCTAGAGATTGCCATTTAAGTGAAGTAAGCAAGACAAAGACAAATACCATATGAAAGTACTTACATGTGGAATCTTAAAAAAAATGATACACATGAACTTACAAAACATAAAAAGACTCACAGACATAGACATATGGTTGCCAGAAGGGGAAGAGGGTGAGGGATGGACAGGGAGTTTGGGACTGGCAGATATAAGCTACTATATACAGGATAGCTGGGTGGTGGGGGCCTGCTGTGTAGCACAGGGAACTGTGTTCAGTGTCTTGTTATGACCTATAATGAGAAGTATGAAGAGGAATATATAAACACATATGCTCACACACATATATAGCTGAGTCACTGTGTTGTGCACTGGGAACTAGCAAAAAAGAAAAAGAGTAAAACACTAACTCAGGAAGCTCTGTGCACCCCTGTGTTCACTGCAGCATCATTTACAACAGCCAAGATGTGGAAAGAAGCTGTGTCCACTGACGGACGAGTGAATAAAGAAAATGTGGCATACATACAGTAGACTATTCTTCAGCCATCAAAAACGAATGAAATCCTGCCATTTGTGACAACACGGACGGACCTTGAGGGCATCATGCTAAACGAAACAAGTCAGACGAATGCTGTGCGATCTCACTTACATGTGGGATATGAAACACGACAACGACACAACCAAGCTCCTTGTACAGAGAACAGGTTTGTGTTTCCAGAGGTGGGGGGGGGGCTGGGGGTGGGTGAAATGGGGGAAGTGAATCAAAAGGCACAAACTTCCAGTTGTGAAATAATTCAGTCTGGAGGATGGGATGTACGGCAGGGCGACTGCAGTTAGTAACACCGTGTTGCCTATTTGATGGTTGCTAAGAAAGTAAATCTTAAAAGCTCCCGCCACAGGCACATCTGTAACCACGTATGATGAGATGTTAACCACACTTACAGTGACTGGTTTGCAATATATACAAATATCGAAACATGCTGTACGCCTGAAACCAACCTAATGTTCTGCCAGTTGCACCTCCATAAAAAAGGTGGGGTGACGCTCTCTACCCCAGGACCTATTGTGAGGATGGGATGAGGCAGATTAAGGGCCCGCCCCAGCACCAGGCAAGCACCCGCTGCACAACTGTTGGCTACATGGGAGAGTCCACCAAAGCAGACCCACCTTCCTGCTAATGACCAGGACACAGGCCACAGCCTGGGGACTCCAGCTCCCAGGAGGCTGGACTGGCAATGCAGCCCCAGACCGGGAGGCCTTCAGGCAAAGTCCGGGACAATACCGCCACCTGGTGGCTGCTCAGGGGTGCACGGCAGGAAACAGTCCCTCACTGCACCACATCCCTCCTGTCCTGGGCACTGGGGCCAGGAGAGCGCCCTACAACAGTGGCAGGGGAGGGATATGGGCACGCTGGGGCCTTTAACCAGAATGGGCAACACGGACGAAGAGCAGCTTAGGGGAGAGAGCACTTCTGCTGATGGCCGAGGGCGGTCCCTGAGGAGCACCCAGGGGGTGCTGCTTGGCAGACATGGAACCAGGATTGAAGGGATGGGAACTGGAAGCACCTGGTGGGGACACAGTAGTTGGAGTTACAGGTGTGGAGATGTTTCAAGAGCTCCCAGGCTCAGAAGACAAGAGGATGGGCCTGGCACTTGGGGTGGAGGACCGGAAGGCACAGGCCACGGAGGGAAGCAGAAACCAGCCCTGGTAGACCCAGGGGCCAGGAAGGAGGTCGGAGGCAGGAGGAGCAGTGCCTGAGCTGCACGGCCAGGGGGCGCAGCCGTTAAAAGCACATTGTGACCTCAGCAGGAGCAGTTCTGTGTGGGTGAAGGTTCAAGAGAGTGGTGCTGATGTGGACAGGGGAGTGTGGGCCCTCCTGGGGGTGGTGGG